AGGCCAGTAACCAGAAGCAGCAGAAAGAAGTCGAGTGGAGAGGCTAGGGCTGGGGCTCAGGGGAAAGCACTTGCCTAGCATGTGTGAGGCACTAGGTTCGATCCTTAGCACCACATTAAAAATAATAATAAACAACTAACGTAAAGGCATTTGGTCCATCTACAACTAGAAAATATTTTTTTTAAAAAAAGGGCTGGGGTTGTGGCTCAGCGGTGGAGCGCTCGCCTAGCACATGCGAGGTACTGGGTTCAATCCTCAGCACCACATAAAAATAAATTTTTTTAAAAAAAGGTATTGTGTCCAACTACAACTAAACAAATATATATTTTCAAAAAAGGAAGTAGTCAAGTTGAATCTTTGGAACCTCCCAAAACAGAGATTGTGGAAACCTCTGATTAGATTTCTTGATTTAAACACAAATGCCTTTATTTCACTTGCTTATACTTGAGTTCAGAAATATTTAAATTGTACTTTTAACCTAAAGTAATCATAAGTTAGTTAAATTCTACAATATTTATAATTATTGTGTTAATGAAGAAAACTTAATGCAAATTCAGTCAAATGCATTAAAGATGGTGTACGACGCAACTTTTAGTGATACATCAACTAACATTGGACAGCATGCTTTAGGGAAGCAACTTGAAGGTTACAATGCCCAGTGACTGAACACAAGCACCTCTGAGAAGCGTGTCACGACACATGCACGACAGGCATCCAAGCCACTGCCACGTAGTCTCACCTTCTCGTCCTTACTGGGGATAAAGTGGGAAATCAATGTTTGTTCCCATACATTTACAGAAGAGCAACAATAGATCCACTAAGCAAGGAGCGTGAGAGGAAGTTACACAAGGGCACTGTACTACGGCTAGAGCTCCCCACACCTGGAGAGCAGCCCCGTGGGGGTCCCCAGGGCAGGTCTGCTGCTTAGTGCTGGAACTGACTCTGCAGCTCCCTGAGCACCAGCACTGCTCCATTGATGATTTACTGTATGCAGCATTTTCAGGCATGAATTTATTTTATTCTGAAGCTTTTTTTTTTTTTTTAATTTAAATGAAAGCTCTAATTTTCTGAGGAAGGTTTCATGAAGTTCAGTCTCCAGGTCACACATGGAAACGCAGCGGTAGACGGGGTTCGGCCTCCTTCCTTGCCACTCCTTTACTCAATGGCTTGCCTCATGCTCCCTGCTTCTGTGACTGAAGTTGTGCCATATTTTAATTGGAGCTCAGAAACTGGAAACAAAAGTACATCTGCTGACAAGGATGTTCCAAGAACTGGAAAGCCCGGGGAAAACCAAAAAAGGGAAGCATCAGATAAACAAAGGAAATGGCGCCTGCCAGCAAGCAAGGGTGAGAAACACACATGTCAAAACAAGCTCCACGTGAAGCGCAGTGGGGGCTCAGAAGTGTCCAGAGAAGCCGAAGCCGAGGCTGCAGGGGGCAGGATGCAGGCGAGCATTTCAGCGCACCGACTCCTTTCACCATACCTGGTGCCAACTGCTTGCTCCACTGTGGGAGAGGGCACCCAGCAAAGGTACTGGGAACACAGAGGAGACGAGACTCATCCAAACAAACAGCATGACTGCTTATCCAAAGACCTGAGAGAAGAGGGGCAAGGGAGAGGGCAGAACAGCCTGCCCAGGCCGACACGAGAAGAACCAGGCACATAAGGGACTGAGGCCTTCTGTGGCCAATACCCCTGGGTTTGTGTGACTCAGAGCTTTTTAAAAAGCTTCCACTCAACCTTTACTAGTGCAGACACCCCGGGCCAGAGTCTTGCCCTCTGGACAGGAAGGAGGAGCAGGGTGAGGGCAAACTCCGTGTATAGCCTCCAGGAGCAGGCAGCCTCTCCAGGCCAGGCCACGCCTGTCCCAGGGCTGGAGCCTAAGGTCTGTGAGTGGAAGCTGAGGGCGTAACAATGCTTACTTCGGGAGCGCCAGCTTTACTAGAAGGTGGAAGTGGAAAGCATAAAACATGGCGTAGTAGAGTGGCTTCCAGTGTCTAAGTTGTTTAGAAGGTTTAGAAGGCATGAAATTTCAGAAAACACTGCCTTGTCTCTGTTCTTCAATCTCTTTTGCAGACTGCCCTGTTTCTAACTGCGTTTACACACAGGAGCTGTTGAGGGTCTGATGCAAACCCTTTTCTCTTCTCTGAGCAGTCTTGCTGGACAGTCTTTTGCCCTCCTCAGGACATGCATCGCTAAGAATGGGAACCACACACAGAACACCGAAAGGTAAAAACTAAAAAGTTACCTAAGGAGGGGGAGGAAACAGGGTCCAAAGGACAGGAATGGAAGCTACATTTCTCAAAATTTTATTTTGACTTGGAACCATAAAAAATGTTTTGTGAACCTGTAACAAAATTAAAAAGCTCTTCCTTAAAATTAAGATTAAAATGAAATAAATGTATCAGTGTAACCAGCTGATGACATAGTGAAGAACTGGTTCAAGTGATTAAAAAAGCAACACTTTGGCAGCACATCCCTAAGGATCTACTCCAAGAACAAGAACAACTGCAGAGAAACCTTAGGCTATTTTCAGTGATCCAACTGCTGGTGATATATTGGTACTGCTGCTATAAAATAATCACAAATACTTTACAGGTTAAACAAATGAGTAAGGATGCCAAAATCATCAGGAACCATGACTTCTAGCACAAGAGAAATGAGACAAATATAAAATCCAAGAAGCAAAAATACTCTTAAATTTGAAATAAAAATAGTATGAACACATGCCATATTTTCACTTAAAAAGTGTTGTCTGCTGGTTGTTCACCAAAGAGTCTGGAGACAATCACCAGCATCACAGCAATGGGCATCACTGGGCCCAGACTGTGGTCTCAGCAACCCAGGAGCCTGAAGCAGGAAGATCCCAGGTTTGAGGCCAGCCCCAGCCAATTAGTGAGGCCCTGTCTCAAGGTTTTTTTTTTGTTGTTGTTGTTGTTGTTGTTTTGTTTTTTGTGGTGCTGGGATGGAACCCAGGGCCTTGTGCATGCAAGGCAAGCACCCTACCAACTGAGCTATATCCCCAGCCCTAGACCCTGTCTCAAACTAAAAATAAAAAGGGCCAGGGTCAGTGGCAAGGTACTGGAATTCAATCCTCAGTATCCAAAAAAAAAAAAAAAAAAGATATTGACTCCTACATACAGCACTGCTTAGAGACACTGTGATCCTAGGTCTGGGGCAGAAGTTACATGAGTCTAGGACATCTTCCCAAACCAGGAAGCAAGGAGGGCAGACCAGGAGGTATGTTAAAGGACAAAGGACAAAGTCCAGGGAGTTCCACCGGCCAGAGCAGCACAATGAGCATCTGTAAGAATCACTGCAATGGACTGAAATACTCACGGCTGCTTTAGTTCTTGGATTTGCATGGTGCTCGGCACAAAGACTACTTACTCTGGGTTTTTTTTTTTTTGTTTTTTTTTTAATGGTACCAGGGATTGAACCCAACGGCACATATCCCTGAGCCTCATCCCCAGCCCTTTTCATTTTTTATTTTGAAACAGAGACTCACCAAGCTGCTTAGGTTTTCACTAAGTCACTGAGGCAGGCCTTGGATTTGTGATCCTCCTGCCTCAACCTCCAGAGCTGCTGGGATTACAACAGGCGTGCACCACCATGCCCAGCAATTACTGCTTACTCTTACAGTGGCTGCAGAATAGACACTTGGGAATGGACAGAGGCAGAATGAGGCATTTATTTATCCTGCCTTTCCCATCTGAACTATCCCAAATATTTAATGAAGAATTGTTGACAATTCATCAAGGAGAAGGAAAAGACAAACAGCATATCACCATTCTGCAACCTCTGATGGCTGCCCAGGCACAGCACTGGCCTCCATGCCACCAGCAGACCCATGTGCTAACCAGAGCACAGCCACCACCGCAGTGCCTGTTCTGAAAGGCTGAGCCACAGTGACTGAACCTCCAGATCCCCCACGGTTCACAGGAAGTACAGAGGCACATGTTCGTATTCAGTGGAAATGGCCAGAGCAAAATAGGGAAAACTGGGCACCAGAAAAAAGACCCTGGATTCCAACCATCAAAATGTAAGGAAACTTGCAGACAGAACTCTAATGATTTCAAGAGACTATCAGCTAACTATTTGGACTCTGCCTCAAACTCAAAAAAACTGAGACTTCTCAGGAAAATGGAATGGCACTGTAACAACAATATGAATACGGATAAAATCTAAATAGTTTTCTTGATACTTATCAATTTATCAAAAAGAGCTATGTATTAAATCTCACTTTGGATGTAAATATTTCAAACTCTTTTTATCTTCATTTTAATGTTCTAACACGTTAAAGTTTTTAATTTCAAGTGTAAAGTGCCACTCAATCACATATTAGAGGCTAAACACAGGGTATTTTGCTTTCTTTAAAATTCCTAAAGACAACTAAAGAGCAAACAGTTCCCAAATCAAAGGTTACACTACTGGGAGAAGCAGGCCTGCAACCTTGGCTGCCAGCACCGCTCCTGCAGTGGGCAACCCTCTAGGCAAGGGGAGAATTGGGGGCTCTCAGAGGACGGGTCTTTGAGGCAGAGTGCAGGCCACTACTCCTGGTTTTCAAACTTTAAATCTTTCCTGAGCCATTAGGGATCTTATTTGTTATTCTCAGAATTGAGTGCTACCTTTAAAAAATCGAAAAATAAAAGTAAGGAGATAAAAACCAAAACACCGTGCTATATATAAAGAAGACTCTTAAATACATCTGCTGGAAGGAAATTGCTAAAGCCCAAGATGAGTAAGTTCAGGGTGTTTTGCAATTAGGTTGTTTTACACAAAACAAAAAAGTAATAGCTAAAGAAATGCAAACACACTAAAAATGTCTAAAGCCATGCACGCTGTGGCATGCACCTATGGTCCCAGTACTTGGGAGACTGACAAAGGAGGATCCCTGCAGCCCAGGAGTTCAAGGCCAGCCTGGGCAACACAGAAAGACTCTGTCTTCCATTGCAAACAAACCAAAAACAAACAAGAAGTCACATTTTCTAGTAGCATACCTGTGTGTCATATGTTGTAGGAAGATCTATCGAAGCTTGACCGAGGAGGAAGAAGCTTCAGCAAAGCAAGAAGTGAAGCAGTGTCAACCTTAGCTTCTTCCACAGAATGGAGTTTCGGCCCTCACCTAGGAGTAAGAGCAACACTTGATCAACTCTCATCTGGAAAGCATCAAAGCTTCAAAAAAGGGCTGGGGTTGTGGTTCAGCGGTAGAGCGCTCGCCTCATACATGCAAGGCCCTGGGTTCGATCCTCAGCACCACATACAAATAATAAATAAATAAACAAGCAAACTAATTAATTAAAAAAAAAAGGCTTAATTAAACAAAACAAAAACCAGGCTTCTTATAGGTGCATGCCTGTGATCCCAGCTACTCGAGAGGCCCAGGCAAGAGGATTGCAAGTTCTAGGCAGCCTGGGTAACTTAGTCAGATCCTGCCTCAAAATAAAAAAGACCGGGGGTAGCTCAGTAGTACAGCACTTGCCTAACATGCTAGTACTGCAAAATAAATAAATAAATAAACTAAAAAATACAATTTTAAAAACTTTACATTTCTATAGAATGTAAAGATAAACATTTTTAACACTATATGCATATATGGTGTTGACTGCATTTTTTCCCTAACATTCATGGGCTTTATTATTTTGTTAATAAATTTATTGGTACATTATAATTATACATAATAGAGGAATTTGTTGTTACGTATTTATACATGCACCCAATATAATCTGGTCAGTTTCACTCCCCCTCATCCTTTCCCCTATTTCACTCACTCTGTGGATTTCCCACATTTTTTTGAGCAAAGTATACATTATAAAGTCTGCTTCTTTTTACTTTTAAATCACTTTTATCATCAAGTGCTACATACCCACAGGAAATACAGTTTCACTAGCTTACTACAGACCCCAGTCCACTCCCATGCTGGCCAGGGAGATGGCCTCACTAGAACTCCAGAAAGGTGGGGGCCTCTCTGGTCCCAAACCTTGCCCCATGCAAGAACAACTACCTTAACTCTCATGGTTATCACTGCCTCCCTTTTCTTTCTTTCTTTTTTTTTAACTTTATTTTATTTATTTATATGTGGTGCTGAGGATCGAACCCAGGGCCTTGCAGTTGCGAGCAGAGCGCTTTACCGCTGAGCCATAACCTCAGCCCCTGCCTCCCTTTTCTTTATGAATTTATCATTTGGCTGAGTGGCCCTAATATAGACTGTTGATTTATTTATTAAATATTTATTTTTTAGTTGTAATTGGACACAATACCTTTATTTTTATGTGGTGCTGAGATTCGAACCCAAGCCCTTGTACATGCAAGGCAGTGCTCTACCACTGAGCCACAATCCCAGCTCCTAACCTGTTTATTTTTGCTTGCTTCTGTGTTTTACATAAATAGAATCATGGATGAAGGAGTATGTTGTTAGTCAACACTGTTGTGGTTAAGGGGAAAAAAAAAAAAAAGAATGGTACAGGGGGGAAAATGCTGCTTTTGCAGCTACAGCTTATTTTCCTTACTTTGTAATACTCCATGTGTCCATATTCCATAATTTACTCACTTCTCTGATTCCTGGTATTTTCTGCTTTGGAGTGAATATAGACACTACTGAGATCTTTCTGCATGGCTAGACCAAGCTCACAGGTGTACATGCCTAAAAGAGCAACTGCTTACCTACTGGGCAGGTGTATATTCAACTTTCGCTACAAACTATTTCCCAGAGCAGTTATAACAATTTGTATTGACAAGAAAAGGGTATGACAATGGATGTGTAACTGATGTAATTCTGCAATCTGTATATGGGGTAAAAATGGGAGCTCATAACCCACTTGAATCAAAGTGTGAAATATGATATATCAAGAACTATGTAATGTTTTGAACAGCCAACAATAAAAAATTAAAAAAAAAGAAAAGGGTATGAGAGAATTTCTGTTGCTCAATTTTTCAACAAAACTAGTAAGGCTTTTTAATTCTTGCTAACTGAATAGTTGTGTAGTGGTAGCCTAAGAATTACCTTTTATGTAGAATTTTACGGTTGGTTATTTTGAATAAAGAACTTGGGAGGTCCTACATCTGACAATCGCTGCAGAGGAGATCTACATTTTCCAACCAGCATCTCACTTTTCCCATGGCTCCTGCACCCAATTTTTTGCTAGGCATAAGCCCTCCTCTGAACCCATCAGCTTCTAGAGTTGGGGCCTGTCCAGGCAGACTCACAGCTGCCCTGGCCAGAGCTGGTTCCCCCTCTGAATACACAAGCCAGGTCAGAATCAGTGAAGTTTTCCTTTTTCATTCAGAGACTCACAATGACTCTCACTCTTTCCCAAAGAACCCAAACGTGCACAAACAAGTCTGCAGCTGATGCTGTCCAGGTCAGCTGTGAGGCAAGAGTCTGCTTGAGCTTAGAACATCTCGGGAGGGCATGGGGCTAGAGCCTGACCCAGGCAGAGCATGCCAGCCAGCCCCCCACAGGCCTTCCATTCCACAGGGACATAACACCTGTGCTTTCAGGTAGCACTTATCTGGTGGTCAAAAACTGTTCAACCAGTTGAGGCCATAGGGCTGCACACACGCATGCATGCCCAATGTTCCTCCACTCACATCTTTGCAAATCTAAACAACACAGCTGAACTTAGTAAGTACACATTTCATGAAATGTGTCTATTTCATCTACGTTTTCAAATTAATTGGCATGTTGCAACTTCTAATATCCTTATATTTTTATAGGTACTGAATCCACAGTGGCTTCTTTTTCTTTTCATTTCATGGATTGTCTTTTTTTCCACTTATCAGTTTCACCAGAGGTTTGTCAACTTTTACTAGGTGTTTCAAAGAACCAATTATTTATTTTTTCCTTTTTTCATTTTTTTTTTTTTTTTTTTTTTTTGGTGCAGGAGTAGTGGCTGGGGGTGCTGGGGATGGAATCCAGGATCAAGCACATGCTAGGTAAGTCCTCCACCCTTGAACTATATCCCCAGCCCTGTACTAATCTTTCCTACTATAACTTTTCCATATGATTTATTCCACTCCTGTCTTTACTAGTTTCTTCCTTCTGTTTCCCTTGGGCTTTTCTCTCTCTCTCTCTCTCTCTCTCTCTGGTCTCTCTCTCTCTCTGCTAATTATGATATTTATCTTGATTTTTGGCCTTTCAACTTTTCTAAAACTATAAATCTCCCTCTAAGAGCAGCTTTGACTACATCCTAAAAGTTCTGATATATAGTATTTTTAAAATAATTCTGTTGAAAATATTTTCTAACTCGTCTTTATATCATCTTCTTTGACCATGAGTTATATAAAAGAATTTATTTTGAAACTCTACCATTTTGTTCCTGGATTCATAGCTTCAATCTACAGAGGTCATATACTATGATCTGAGAGACTTTTTTTTTTTTTTGAGAGAGAGAATTTTTTTTAATATTTATTTTTTAGTTTTCAGTGGACACAACATCTTTATTTTATTTTTATGTAGTGCTGAGAATCGAACCCAGAGCCCCACGCATGCCAGACAAGCATGCTAATGCTTGAGCCACATCCCCAGCCCCTGTGGCTATCATTTGATGAGATGTTCTATGTGTGTATATGAGACCAAGGCTATTGATCCTATTTAAAACATCTGTGTTTATACATTTGTTTTGTTCATCTGCTTGTTCTATCAATTACTGAGATGTGTTGAAATTTCCACTATAGTTATACTTTTCTTAGAAGATATGTCAATTTCTACTTTGTATAATTTGAAGTCATATTATCAGGCTACAAATTTGTAATTGCTATGATTTCCTTGTGAGTTGAAACTTTTATCATTACAAACTGTGGTAGAGTTTGTCTGCCAAAACCATTTCCTCTGCCTCCTGGGAACACTGCTGGATTCTGCTGCCAGCCTTCCTTGCAGTTCAGCTTGGTGATATGAACTGAGCTCCCTACCTCAAGGCCTGGCCAGACCACCTGCATGATGCTCCACACTCTCCCCCAAATGCAGAGGACCCTGCAAAGTATGCCAGGTCCTAGAGACAGTGGAGCCACAGGGCAAAGAAACCTGAGTCCCGGAATGGTCTTATGGAAAGGAAGCTGACAGCCTGGGCCGCCTGCGCTGACTCTGCTATGCAGGGCTCTGTTAGAACAGAGTTGCTCTCCCATGACACAAAATACCCCTGGTCTATAAGCTGATCTGCCCTGAAGTATGATTTGCTTGACAATGCTCAACCTTGCCTTGGTTAGAGACTGCACGTTTATTTTTCTTCACTATTTTACTGTCAACATTTCTGAAACTTTATGGTCTGGATGGACCTCTTGTACAGAGCATATCACTAGAATTGTGCAAACTACAATTTGACATCTTTTTTTTTTTTTTTTTTTTTAAATCCAGAGTTTATTTTCATTTTATTTATTGTGGACACTTAAGGGGTGCAGTACAATGATTTGCTATTCCTTTTTTAGAGAGAGAGAGAGAGAGACAGAGAATTTTAATATTTATTTTTTAGTTTTTTTGGCGGACACAACATCGTTGTTTGTGGTGCTGAGGATCGAACCCGGGCCCCACGCATGCCAGGCGAGCGCGTTACCGCTTGAGCCACATCCCCAGCCCACAATTTGACATCTTTGTCTTTTAATTGGAACACTTATCCATTTACATTGGAAGTAATCATTCACATATAGACTTAACACTTCCATAGTGCCAAGGTCTTTCTATTTGTCTTCTTTTGGATTATTTATCATCCCAGTTCCTGCTTTTCAGTTACCCAGACATTATATAGTTTGCTTCTAATCTTTTAGTTATTTAGAAATTAAAATGTGCAGCCATGTATAAAAGTCCAATATTAATACTCAATATTTTATTTTTAAATATTTATTTATTTATTTTTTGGTGGACACAACATCTTTGTTTGTGTGTGGTGCTGAGGATCGAACCTGGGCTGCACGCATGCCAGGCGAGCGCACTACTGCTTGAGCCACATCCCCAGCCCAATACTCAATATTTTAGCTGGGCACAGTGACACATGCCTGTAACCCTAGTGATTCAGGAGGCTAAAGCAGGAGGATCAAGAATTTGAAGCCAGTCTCAGCAATTTAGTAAGATCTGCCTCCAAAGAAAAAAAAAAAGTAAAAAGCAGGGGGAAAAAATCCTACATTTTTATCCTT